CTCCCCTAGCCCCTTTCCAACTCCCATTCCCTTTCCCTACACACAGTTGCAGGTCCACGTTATTTTACACAACACACAGGCTGCTGAGGGAATCCACCTGCACCGCACTTGGTTTAACTTGCGGCCCAGCAGGGCATGAGAGACTAACTCATGGGAGCACGTTTACACCCCAGCCTTCATCACCTTCTCCTCCTGTTCGTCAGGGCACAGGCTGCCGAAAGCGTCACCCAACACGGCTGGGTCCTGAGCGGACGTTGGCACAGCACTCTCCAGGCGCCCCCGGCAGGGGCTCTTCAGATGCGCAAGGAGGAAAGACAGACACACATTCAACCACAGGGGAGGCCTCAGTCCTCCGCGCTGCTGTCCTCTACACTGTCGTCCTCACATCCACCCTCCGCGCCCTCGACCTCCTCCTCAATGTCCTCTTCCGAGTCCGTCTCCTCCAGCCACTCTTGAGTTTCCTCAAAAGCAGAATGAACACACAGATGTCAGCACAGCCTGGGCAGACCAGGGGAGCTGCGGGACGGTGGTGGCCACTTCCTGGGTCCATCTCCTCCAAGGCCTTCCATGTCTCCATCCTGTGCAGGTCCAGGCAGTGCAAGTCGCTGAGGGTGACCTGGCGGTCGCCGGCCTCAAACATGCCCCCGAAGACGTAGAGCACCTCGTGCTTCACAGCCAGCATGGCGTTGAAGCGTGGACATGGCCCGGGCACCGGGCTGTCGGCCTCCTCGGCGCTGTCTTCATCCTCAGACTGGGGCTGCCCCACTGAGCCTGGGGCGGCCAGCACCTGCTTAATGGTGACCACGGTCCCATCCTCAGCCACCACCTCCTTGACTACCTCCACGGGCCCTTGGGCACTGGCTCTCCCACACGCCTGCTTGCTGACACCTTCGGGCTCCTCTTTTCTGCCCTGCCTACGTTTTTTCTTCTCGGACTTGGGTCCCTTCAGCGGTCCCGCAAACCACCAGTTCCTGGTGGCGTCGTAGAAGTACAGATCGTTGAAGAACTCTCCCTCCAGGTTCTCCTCCTCTTCCTCATCACACACACCCCCGAAGAACAGGGGCTGGTGATTGGGGGCGGTGGCCACAGAAAAGCCAGACC